GATGGAGGGGCTTTGCCTCCCCGGGGGCTGCTGGGGGCCGCGGGGAAACAGAGCGCGACATTATACAGCCCAACAGCCTCGTGTCTGTTTGCCACAGCCTGGGAAGGCCGATAACACAGAGAGAAAATAGATAAGTGGTTTTGGGGTTTTGGGGTTGTTTGGGGTTATTTTTTTTAGCCTCAGACTGGTGGGGGAAAGCCAGAGCTTTATTCTGGGCCAGACTTTAAACCCGGCGAAGATGAAAGTGAGTCGCTTGGATGCCCCACTCGCTCTGTGGAGCCGTGGATTTCAGTGGCCGGGGCTTGGGATTTGGTTTCTAAGGGATTTGAACCCCAACACACTCCGATTTATAAAGGCCGAGCGCTGTGGAGTGCTGTCTGTCACAAACTGGGGGGTTCAAAGCCTGTCACCCAGAGAGCTCGCCTGCTGCCCACCGGTGTTTCGCTGGAGTGTCTCTAGACCCGACAGTATCTCTGTGCTTTGCTCACCACGAGCACAGCCTGTAATTAACACTCTTACACACTTGGGTGTAAATTAGTAGCAAGGACCCATTGCCAAACGTTGCAAGTTTGGGCCAATAAAACGTAGCCTCTAAAAAAAAAACACAACCCTTTGAGTGTGTTATAGAGGAAAAGGGAAATGTGCCCTGAGCGCTGAGGTTTTATTTCGATTTGCATTTTATGGAATATTATTTATGGGCATGTGAAAGCTAATGAAGGCGTGCAGTCTGATTGCTGGCGATGGTCATCTGCTTTCGGGAAGGTAGCGAGCAGCAGTCTGGGTTTTCTGGGGGCTGGGAGGGGGTTTCAAGACTGCTTTCTCTCAGTGTGTGGCAAAACGGTCCAGCTACTTGGGCTGCAGTGGCTGGGCTACCTGTGTGCAAGGAGGAAGCATTCAGAAAATAGCACTTTTTCTCTCCCAACTTCAGCCAGGATTTGTGTCCCATGGTCCTACCTTATGCTACTGGATTGCCAAAGCTACAGGCTCTGATCAAGCTACTTCTTGCAGAGCTGGTCTCCAAACCTCAGCTCACAGGGCCTGACAGCACTTTTGGTGCTGCTTTTGCAGTAGCGTGGCTTTGATGATGGGGCAGAGCGTCCCGCTGGCAGGCTGAGATGTGAAATCAGGTTGGCTTGGTCAGTTGAGAGCATTTTTCGCAGCGTTGTGCTTTTCTAGCCAGCCCAAACACACTACCCCTCCACACAGCATGCGAGAGGGACGGCGGCCCTGCGGCCAGGCAGCCGCTTCCACGCTCGGCTCGGCTGCATCCAGCCCCGGGTGTGTGCAGAGCGGCGCGGTTCGTGACAGCTTTGAGCTGCTCCTCTCTTATCTCGCACCAAAGCCGCAGCCACGTTCACAAACCAGGTGCTCCCCCGCCTTTCTCCTCCGTGGAGCCTGCGTGGGAAGGCAGGCGCTACCGATCACCCACAAAACGGCTGGGGGGGGGGGGGGGGGAGGGAGGAACATCCCCTCCCCTTCTCCTTCCAGCGGCTGGTGGCTGAAGGACTCACCTGGGATGAGAAAGGGTTCGGATCAAATCCCCTCCCTATCTGCTCCTCCAGAGCATGCCTTTGCCACTAGTTAGCTGGAAGGGATTAGCTCAAGTATTTTTTTCCTGGGGAAATGCTGCAGGGCCTGGAACACGAGCCCTGAGAAGTTAAAAATCATTCCTCATAATAAATGTATATAAAACACACATCCCTATGCATGCATAGCGAATGTACAGTCGTATGAATGCGTGTGTCTGTATGTATATGCATATCTAAAACCAGCAGGCATGCTTGTCATACTCATCTCACACATTGTCTTGCTCTGAATTGATTCAAAGTCCACCTGATGTGACCAAAAAAAGTCACTGAGGCCCGATGGCATCCCACTACTGAAGCAGAAAGGTGTCCCTGCTTTTCACAAGGGAAAAATAGGGGTCTTGGGAGTAAGCCAAAAGGAAGAAGAGTCACCTCCAGCTGTCCGAGGCTTTGAGCTCGGGGCACCAGCCAAGCGCTTTGGGCTAGGACTGCTCTTTCTAGAGATTTTCACCTCAAGAGAGCTGAGAAAGGTGCAGTTGCAGCATTTCTGGCCGTGCTGTCCTGCATAACCGGTGCCAGAGCTTGGCGTGGGCCGCTGAGGTCTCGAGGGCAGACGTTTCACCTCTCTCCTTGGAGAGCAAAACTCGTTTCCCTCTGTCTCAGATGCGCCAAGGCCAGAGGTGTGCTGGGCTCTGTAAGGAGGTGGCACCAGCCTCGGGACAGCTGAGAGCACCACGGAAAGCCTTGAGGTCCTCAAAGGATCTGCTGGTGTGGATTCCCATCGCCAGCCTGGGCAGGAGGACAGGACCTGGCAGCACCGGGCAGAGATCCCACGCCAGTTACAAGCAACACCCTTCAGGTTTAGACCCCCCCCCTCAAGGAAAGACATGGGGGGTTCCAGCATCCGAGGGAGCTGGGTAATGTCCCTACCATGCTGCCCAAACCTCCCTTCCCCCAGCAGAAGAAAGCCTGAATTTCTCACTCTCTTTATCCTCTTGGAAGGAGAAAAATACACAGAGAAATCAAGCAGAGGGATATTGTGGCTCCTAGCTTGGGAGTATTCAGCTGTGTGTTTATCAGCTCCATCCCCTGATGGTATCAGCACGAACAGGCCACCCACAAGAAGGCTTAGCAGGCTGGTCTGGACTCCAGCTTTTCCTCCCTGTCTCCGTGTGTGTGTATATACACCACCGACTATCTCAGGGACTGGCCGTCTGGGGCCTGCATCCATTTATTTACTACACAGCTGATGTAATGGCTAAACATTTTTTTTCTGTGTTTATGGGGTGTGTTTTTTTAATCTGCCGGAGATGAATAGACCCCTAGAGAAGTCAGCGTAGTCGTGTCCCTTCTTGGATAGGAAACAACAAGTTTTAGAACAGGAAATGGGAACAACTTAAACAAATGGGTTTAGGGCTTTTGTATTTAGGTTCCTCAGCTCTCTTCCCCAGCAGATCCAAGAGATACTTTTCCCTCTGACTTTAATTCCTTGGGCAGGGGATGGCCCAGGCTATAGGATAAACTCTACAAGTCTCAAGGGTAGTGCTCTAACCACCCGCTTTCTTCCTCCACCCCAACAGGCACGTCAGATCTGAGCCCCTTCTCTGACCCCCGGCAGTTCGATCGCTCCTTCCCGACGCTGCCGGCTCTCACCGAGACCAGGTTCTCCGACCCGCGGATGCATTACCCCGGCGCCATGTCCGCTGCCTTCCCTTACACCGCGACACCCTCCGCCACGGGCATCGGGGGCATCAGCATGACCAGCATGCCCACCACAACGCGCTTCCACCACACTTACCTGCCACCCCCCTACCCCGGCTCCACGCAAAACCAAAGTGGACCCTTCCAGGCCAACCCCTCTCCCTACCATTTGTACTACGGCACATCTTCGGGCTCCTACCAGTTCTCCATGGTGGCGGGCGGCGAGCGCTCGCCCACCCGGATGCTCTCTTCTTGTACAAGTGCCTCAGCGGGGAACAACTTAATGAATCCCAACCTGGGCAATCAGAATGACGGGGTGGATGCGGACGGGAGCCACAGTAACTCACCAACGACCATGACGACTACTGGGAGGATGGATGAGTCGGTCTGGAGACCCTACTAGGAGGAACTCAGCTGGGCACTGATAGCTTTAACTTAATTAGCCACCGTTATGTTACTCCCTTTGGTAGTGAATGCAGCCAAATGATGCCTAGGGAAAAGGTAAACCCAAGTCTCCCAAACCAAAAGCAAACCAGGATCCTCTACATGCAAGCATGGGCAAACATCAAGCGAAGATGGACCGGGACATACGTTACATTTCAAGATCAACATCCACGAGCCTTGAATTTGTCGCTTGATGTGGTTCCTTTCGTATGTTTTAAGTATGTGGACTGTACATAGGGGGAAAAAAAGAAAAAAAGGACGTGTGGAATCAGATGTTTGTTTCTTGCAGAACACTTCTCAGTCATCTCACTCGCACCTCTGCCCCACACAAAGCATTCAAAAGTTACGAAAAGCTCACCCTTCTTCTGCAAAGTGTTTCAGAGAAGAGAAGAGACCAGGGAGTTGTCCAAGCCATCTCCCTGCCAATGCAGCAGGACTGAACTGAAAAAAAAAAAAAAGGAAAAAAAAAAAAAAGAAAAAAACCCCATATTGTCTCCTTTATTCCCTCCCCGCCAGCGTAGGGCCCCTGACCACCAAAGAGCTCCGGGACGACGCCAGAGCCGCGCGCGGCATGTGAGAGTCTGGTTTACAGCACAACGGCGGGGACTGGGGCTCGCGCGGGGGCTGCGCGCTCCCCGCGGGTTGGCCGGCATCAGCCACGTGAACACGAGCTGTGATGTGATTGTTATTATTCCTTGTTGACGACAGAGGGTGTATTGTTCATTTTTGTCGTTGTCGTCATCTCTCAAACAGTAACGTGGTTGATCCCGTGCCTGACAGCCCCCCCCCCTTTCCTGTATGTTTACATATGAGATGTACTTTTTACGAGACGTGTTTTGTTTTGTTTGCTCTTTTGTCCTGACCTCACCATTCGATTCTTCGCTCCTCTTAGCAAATCTCAGTGATGGTGGCTGAAGTGAAGGCGGCCTTCAGGACAACCCAAGATGGATGAGATGCACTTCCAAGCACGTTCGCTGCGAAAGGGACTCGGGAGCCTTTGGCACGACCCTGCCACCGGTCTCTGGGTCTTCCTTTCACCCTCTCTGAGTGGCAGCACATGCAGCTGGTGGCAAAGCGTCATATTTCTGTCATGATTCTTTCCCATGGTTTTACCCAGAGCGCATTGACACGCGATGACTTTTTTTTGTTAAGAAACGACTTTTACACTTGTCAGTTCGTGCTGAAAGCTCTAACTGAGATTTGGAGAAAGGAGCCATTTCTACTCAGTCCCTTGGTGGTGGGAATCTCGTGAAGCAACGTTATCTAGCCTTTCCCATCCCCTCACCCTCCGTGCCTTTCCCCCCCAAGCGACCCAGAGCACGGGTGTCTTGCTGTAGATGACTAAGCTGAAGAAGGGCCACTAAAGGCCCGTTGGTAGCTGGCTGCATCAGGCGGCATTCGCAGGAACCAGATCTCCTGGGCACCACGCACCCTCATAGCCGATACCAAGGCGATCGCCACCCGACTGGCGCCGTGAGGGGAGGTCACGGGCAGCCGGAGGGGCGGCAGGGGCTCCCCCAAGGCCCGGCTAAGGGCCTGGCGCTGCCGCACGCCACAGGGCTGCGTCACCTCCTGCAAGCCGGCTGGGCTTTCTGCTGGCGTGGGAGTTCAGGCTGGATTCGGGATTCCTCGTGCTGGCAGGGCTGAGGGTGCGTGGGCAGGTCCTCAGGGAGCATGTAACTGCCCTCCAGAGCCTACCCTGCAGCAAGGGGCTGCAGACAGTCCCCAGCCCCCAGTGTCACCAGTAACCAAGCCTTTTTTCTATTTTTTCATGAGCATAAGGAAGTTGAAACCCCACCAGCTGCCCTCCCGGCCCCCCTGTCTAAGTTACACCATTACAGCCGCGCCGCCTATCACCAAATCTCAGTTGGCAGCTTGTCAGCCCTCGGTTGAGGTACAGAGCGCTGTGATTGCACTACCACGTCAAGACTGGAGCAAGCCGTCCGGGCGTCGTTGGAAAGCTGCGATGACCACTCACGAGTTCAATAAGCAACAAGAAGAACAACCCTTTTACATCATTAAAAAACAACAACCAAAAAAAAAAAAAAAAAAAAAAAAAGAGCCCCACCCCAGCAAAACTGCAACCTTCCCTTGCCTGAGCGACAGCGAGCACCTCGCCGGTGCTTGCCAGCTGTACAGACTGGACCACGGCAGCCTGTGTTCTGATGCATTTACGTTTGTCATCCGACCGCGCCACTGATGGAAAGCACAAAGGAAACAAGGCATTCGTAGTACTAGGTTAATTTAAGACTGTTTGTAGTGAATTTAAAAAAAAAAAAATAATAATAAAAAGAATGGCAACGATGTTATTTTTTATGACATATTGTCATGTGAAGGTGTAAATATATGCACCTCTGTTGTATGCAAATGGTCACAAGACAGGCCAACGTTTTTTGCTTTGCACTATAATTTGCTTTTTTAAAAAAATGCACAATCGCTTGTACAGTAAAACCCCTTTGTCTGGCTCACAGAATATTTAACTATAAAATCTAATTTTTGGTCTTATTTGTTATAATAATATAATTCTTAAATGTGTTGAAGGATCCGATTCTTAATAATGCTTCTAATACTTGTATGTGCAGGGTAAAATAACAACAAACGACTAAGGAGATGAGAATGGAGATCTTTGTAGATAAAGAAGGTTAAAGTTGTTGGGTTTTTTAATGGTGTCTTACAATGGACATTAAAAAAAAAAAAGCTAGTGATACCAAATAATGTGGTTATTTGTGTAATATACCAGCCCTACTTGAAGGTAATGCCCTATATTTAATATGTAGCCCATCTTTTTAACCTGTAGCACTTGTCACTGGGGAGGGGGGAGGCGGGGAGGCGGGGAGAGGAAGAGGAAGGTCTGCTCCTGTTGAAGTCATTGGAAGAAGCTCTCGCTGGAGGAGTCTCTGCTGCGCTGGTTTCAGCGAGAACAGAGCCGGGCTCCTTCGTGAGTGGGTGGAAGTCGCGTTGGTACGAAGCCGTAGCAAAGTGGTCAGTTCTGCTTTTCTGTTATCGGTGTCAATGTTCTTATCCAATGTACGTGATTATATCGTCAGGCCTCCGTGTAATCATTTTAATGACTTTCCATGTGGAATAATAAATGTACGGTTACAAGTCTCCCCGGTGCCTTCCGCCTGCTCACTTCTCGCCGGGGGCCGCCGGTCTGGGCCCCGGAACGGA